AAAAAAAAAAAAAAGAAAATATTATGGCTCCAACTTTGTCCTTTTTATTCAAGACTGCTTTCTGTATAGGGGGTCTTTTGTGGTTCTATTCAAATTTCAATATATTTTTTTTATATTTCTGTGAAGAATGTGATTGGTATTTTTATCGAGATTGTGTTGATTGTGTAGATTGCTTTGAGTAATACTGACATTTTGATGATGTTAATTTTTCGGGCCTATGAACATGGGATATTTTTCCATTTATTTGTGTCCACTTAAATTTTTCTCACCAATGTTTCATAGTTTTGAAATGAATCATTGCTTTTATGCTTTAATTTATCAGCCAAGTTCTCCTTTGATTTTTTACATATTTACAATATTGCTTCGAAGTTTTTCTCCTAACTACAATGTGTAGGGTCACTTAGAGATATTTCCCATTTAATATTTTCGATTTTTTTCTTCTAAGAATGGGTTATTCTTTATCATTTCTTTGTATATCTCACCAATTTCATTTGTAAGACAGATTTTTTTTTTTTTTTGTAGTACTTTCTGTTTCTCTAGATTCTCATTATGCTCTTCTTTATCCCCAAAAGTTTGTTTTCATTTCTTTAGTTAATTCCCTATGGCTGATGATGTCTCTGCTGAGTTTAAAGAGAGATAAAATGTAATTTTTACTTGTGGCATCTCAGGTTTCCACTATGTGTCCAGGTATCTTTGGTTGACTTCTACGCTTGAATGGAAGTTATACTCATTTCCATCAATACATTGAGGTTGTGCCCTCTTTGGATGGATTTATGTTTGGGTTGTGGAGTGCATTAAAACTTTAGGCCATTTTCAAATCTGCCATGATTTACTCCCTGATGGGATGTTTCACTTCTCTTATGTATATGTGTCTATATTTAGCATGGTCGAGATTGTATGTCACTTAATCCTAGTAAAGTTAGCAGACGCAATTCATTTGTTTCCAGCAACAATACAGTAATGCTTTTAAGATGGGCATTTGATCCCAGGTAAACAATTGCCATGCAAGCTTCAGAATTTTTTGTTAAACCATACAAGTAAATTTTCATTTCTGCTGGGGTTTGTATCAGGAGATTCACCTGTCTTTCATGTACTGAGAATAAAATAAAACAAAATTTGGAAAAGGAGACAGAACATATCCTGATGACAATGTTTGAGTTTCAAAATTCAGCTGTGACTGATATTATAACTGCCCTCCTCAACTTTTTTTTAACCACTTAATCTTGTTTTATTTGGTTTATGTCATATACAAAATAAAAGTCCTAATACAAACAGCATAACCTTTATGTATATGAGTGTGTGTGTGTAAACCCAGCTATTGGCCTCGTTTTTCAAGAAAACTACATGGAGGAAACATGTCTGCAATAAAGGAGACTAGATATATTGGTGCATATTTACTCAAACAAATACAACAATATATGTGGTGATAAAGAATATTAGATAGCTAAAAACCATTAAGGATATACATTAAACTGACCTGGTAGACACTGGAGTTCAGAGTAAACTTTGTAATTTTTAGGACAGCGATTGAGTGAATATTGTAATATTGTGGACAATGGGTTATAAGTGAGAAGACAGTGTGGCTGTTGTTGCATATTAGACATCCTAATGTGCTTCTTCACTACTGAATATATTAAACTGCATTTCAGTGACGGCTCTGAGAAAAAGTAGAGAATTGGAAATCCACTGCACATATGTTGTTCTTGAATTAAGGGAAGTTAATGAGGTCAGATATAGTTAACATATAGAATGAGAAGTGAGAAACATGAAAAACACCTCCACTTGCTTCGTATATTTGTTTGCTTATACATTGAACCCTTAGCAAAACCCATGCAAACTTCTGTTATTTATCCACCTTTGATTATCCAAAGCCTGGCATAATGCCTGGAAAATGGCAAATAATAGCATATCAGTTTACATATATGTTGAATAAATCAAGGAACCATAAATTATTTAATCATCTCATGGGAAGACATACATTTGGTAAAAAATAAAAAAAATAAATAAATAGTGTCTCTCTCTTTTTCCTCATAAACATGTTTCCTCTCCATATATCAGAACCTCTGGCTGTACTTTCATAAGAGTCACAGATGTTTCTTCTTTTTAGAGAACTTGGCAACTTCACATGAGTGTTCTGGGATGATTGCCATGAGTCTTATCTTTACTTTTTTGTCATGCGCATTGGGATCAAATCTATCCTCAGCACATCAGGGGGTGGTGGGGATGTGATAAAGCTTTCTAAATGAGGAGATTCTATTGTATCTGAAATCATATTTTCTCCTTTCTTTCTAGGATGTGAATGGCATTATGGAAAGGTATGTTGGTACACCAAGATAGTCTTTTTGTTCTGTGAGTAAAAAATTATAGTCGTTAGAAGTATATGATGTTCAATGAGAATAAAACATTTCTAGGGCAGGAAAAATGAGAAGTTGTATCATCTTAAATGTCTGATCACCGATCAGGAATTGAGTGGCCTGTGACTACTGAGGATAGATCAGATTCCAAGGCATGGGATTTGAGTGTTGGGAACCCACAGAGATTGAGTCATTTATGGTATTAGGGATAAGGTATTGCAGTATCAGACCCTGTGACCTCACCATTTTATTCAACCTGCGAGTCCAAATTTCACTCTGGTTTAGTATTTAATAGGCTTCTGACTTATTGTGGGGGAGATGAATCTTCTCCACTTTCTCAAAACATAGAATTGTTCATTGGGATAATTCCTATGTGTTTAAATTTTTCTCCTGAGAAAAGAAAAGACCAGGTTCTATTTTTTTTGTGAAAAACAACTCGAATCTTCAGAAATAATATTTTGGCCCTGGTGCAAACAATTGATTCATCTCAGTCAAATACATTAGAAGAGTGTGGAGGGCTTGTGGCCTTGTGCCTAAAATTGCACACTGACCTGGCATCATCAAGCTCTTTCCAAACACATAATATTCAGACCAACATTAGATTGTTCTTCATAATATTTCCTTTGCCTAGTATTTGTAATTTTTTCCAGTGAACCTGAAACCTCATATGACATCTCAGGGCTTCACTACTGCGAATAGGCATTGCAAGTCATGGTCCTCTTCAGATAGGATTCCCACATTTGACATGTCTCAAATACCCATGAAGAAGAATCTGCAACCTCACTTTATGACCATCTCCCTGGGAACCCACATTCATGGCAGTGACATGACTACACGTTAGATTTTTTTAAAGTCACCAAAGTATTTTTTTCTTTTGATTTAGATCCATTCTTTAATTATTTCCTATAAGTTCCATCAGGGGAAAGAAAGAGGTTATTTCAAGGTATTCAGTGGTGTTCAAGAAACACAAGATCAAAGGTGTGGAGGTCATATTTTTCATCCGTAGGTGTCAGAACATCACGCTGAAGACACCAAAAACTTTACCTAAGAAACAAAGAAGAGTTTTTCAAGCTCCTGATCTGAAAGGGATACTGCAAGCATTCACAGGTGAGGAGAGCTAGATCGAGTGTGTGTCTGTGGGATTCCAGAGGTGGCAGGGGCTGGATGGGGAAGAGAGTGAAGTTTCTGTCTGTGGAATGAGGAGATAAGGGAAGAAGGATGCTGTGTGCTGAAGCTGTGGTCACATTTCATGAGGAATGATCAGAGGCCTGGTTCATCCTCTCATCTACCAGGTCACTGACCTACCATAGTCCCTTCTACTTCCCAAATCTGAAGAGAAAATAGATTTCAGAGCTGACTCCTGTGATTTTACTGAAAATTATGAATTTTTATCATTTCAGAGCTGAGAGATGTGCAACGCTACTTGGGTAAGGAGAAATCACAGTATCATAAGCCACCCTGTTGTCATCATCTTTCAGAACTCTGTGTTCTCTAGCAGGTCTCATGTTTCAAGTCTCACGTTTCTCCTTCCATCACATACATACCTACATCTTCTCCTAACCTCTGAACAAAGTTTCTCCCTATTGTATCTTGTTTTCCTCAAGAATCTTCTCAGAATATCACAAAATACATCATATCCCTCATATGACCTTTCTGTTTTTCTACAGTTGATGTGAAACTGACTCCAAGCAATGATTCAAATACGTTCATTTCTCCATATCAGAGACAAAAGGCATCTTCTCGGATGCCAGTTGACTCTTACTGGAATGGCAGTGATTATGATTATGACATCCGAGGTTCCCCTGTGATCACATCAGGAAAACATTACTGGGAAGTAGATGTGTCCAACAAAAGAACCTGGATCCTGGGGGTATGTTATAAAAGAAGAAAACAAGATATAAATTATCAACCTAAACATGGCTACTGGGTTATAGGGTTACAGAATCGAGGTGAATATGTTGCTTTTGAGGACTCTTCCTCCTCTAATCCTGTGGTGTTGACACTTTTCCTAACTTTTCCTCCCCGTGTTGTTGGGGTTTTCATAGACTATGATGCTGGCACAGTCTCATTTTTTAACCTCCCAAATGGGTTTCTCATCTATGAATTCTCTGTATGTGACTTTCCTCAGCGTGTTTATCCATATTTCAATCCTAGGAATTATTAAGTCGCCATGATTCTGTGCTCTCTAAGCTTGTGAACTTCCTACATCAACACCCACTTGCCGGGGGTGCATCTCATGCACCTGAGCTCATCGGCACCATTCCCCATTTTCCTCATTGCCTCCCTTCATTCTCATTGTACAAATTGCCTTGTGCCACATTCCTCACAATATTTCATTTGCATTTAGGAGAAAAAATTTTTCATCCTTTTCCATACTCCCAAGAAAAAATGACTGATCCTTTAAAAAGAAACACCAGTATGAGATAACATCTCTGCCAAATCTTTACAACCCAGTTCCCTCTGACACTGACTAAGGAGATAAATGAACATTTCTCAACCACTTTTTTTTTATATATATATTATTGAAGGGCATGTGAAGGAGTCATTCACTAAAGAATGAGCCATTAGCATTGTGCCAGTTTGCTTATGCCCATTATCATTAAGGAGTTAAGGAGGAAAAATCATAAATCACATATACGAAGAGTGGAAGTTTTGTGTGCAGAGTGTCTTAGTTGAGATTCTGTGTACATACTAGCAGTGCAGTTTTGAATAACATACTTAAATGTCTGTTTTTAATTTATGAAAATAATTTTTGTATAACAACTTCAAATACTTTGGATCATTGTGAGAAAATTAATTTTTCAAGTATAAAAATATTTATTTAACTTCTCAACTTCTTAAGTATTTGCTCTACTCAGCACTGAAATATATAAGCTGTGTCAGTGTCCCATGGAACAGGTTGTGCCTTCAGGGAAACCTAGACTGGCTTTACTGAATTCTTGTTTTTTATGTCCCAGACACGAGCACAGTTCTGCCATGTGCGTTTGTGTGTGTGTGTGTATCACACATATTTAGACTTTTACTCTAATTGTGATGTTGCTACATACTGGCATTTAATAAGTAAAGTCAATTCTATGGGATTCAGTTCATCATTTGTTTAAAAAAAGAAAAAAATATATATATATTATATAAAATAATGAAACTTAGCTGATGTAGTCCTGTGAAAATTAAACAGAATGTTTCTAAGAGCAAGAGAATGTTTCAAGTAACTTCTGTCACTTCTAGCACAGAAGGAACAATCCAGTATGGTGTTTGTTAATATTTGTTTCATCTCTCTGTTACTGAAATAAATGATTTTTAAGATAACGCATTAGTTTACATTCAAAATTATTAAACTCCGTCATATTTTTTAAGAAATAGAGTAGCTTGTTTAAAGAATCACATTTTATTATTTAACGTTTTATTTATTTATTTATTTATTAATTTTTTTATTTTTTTAAGAAGAATAAATCTGTATTTATTGAGCCTGTGTGCTATCTGGAAAGCTGGAGCAATGTTAAAAATAAATGATTCAAAGTTCACTGGATACATATAGCTAGATGAGAACAAATGAGTAACATTGGTAAAGTAGACTGTGTCTCTACTCAGGAAGAGATGTTGTAGGCCAAAACTCGATTCACTTCAGACGTTTATTAAGTATACACCAGAAATTGGAGGGAGCTACAAAAGAAGTAAGTCTCTCTTAAGGAAATAAAAACTCCCTGCTATCGTATGTGTAATTTGCTCATTCAGATTATGCAGTTCGGGTGTTGTGTATGTTCTCAATGGCTTTGTTCCCGTGAAGGCCTTGGGATAAAACCTTTGTTGGAAATAAATTGTAATGTAGGGAGGGCATAGAACGTTTTAAAAATATAAAACGGGGAGGCAGAGGTGGTGCCAAAGGGCAGACTGAAGGAGGGAAGGGGGAGAGTAAGTCCCAGTGTGCAGAGGCGACCTGGGTATCCTCCCAACGAGTGTGAGGCTCTGTGGCAAGAGCTGAACCAAGCGGATCTGCACTGTCCGTGAGGCTCTGCCATCACCGCCCCAGCCCGGCCTCCTTCAGCTTCAGGGCTCCGGTCACAGGGTTCGCAGGGCCCGGGTCCCTCAGCACACCCAGCTCCAGTCGCCCCCAGAGCATGTCCCTAGCTCTTTGACGGCTGGCCGCCAGCCCTGGTTCTTAACGGGAAGGACGATGGAGCTGCAGTCGGCACTGCTACTGTGAAGACAGCTGGCAGGACTCAAAAAAATTCAGAAGAAGGCTTTTCAGCATGTTAAATATGACAATGATCTCTACTGATGGGAAGTTCTTATTACTGTTCCTCAAGATGCACTTCATGAAGGTGGTGTTTTGAAGGCTCCTCGCACTTTTACAAAGATTATCCCTTCCCGCCGCCTCAAATGAAAATGATTACAGAAATCTGGCACCCAAATATTGATAAAAATGGTGATGTGAAATATGGCTATGAAAAGCCAGAGAAGGCAGTCTTCCTAAACACACTGGGGAAACCACCATGATTAGTATCACTTCCATGCTGGCAGACCCTAATGGAGCCTCACCTGCTAATGTTGATGCTGCGAAAGAATGGAGGGAAGGCAGAGAATTTAAAAGGAGAGTTTCTACTGTGAAAAAGCCAAGAGACTGCTTTTGAGTGACATTTATTCAGCAGCTAATAACTTCACTTATTTCATAATCTCCAATTGAGAAACATGGCACTGTTTTTCTTGCACTCTGCCCTCCTACTGCTGGACTTCTGTTCCATCAAGTTGGCAAACACTGGCTGGAACTGAGCTGCGATACAACATTCCAGTCAGTCATCAATGCTGACAAGAGCCTAACAAGTGCCAATTTACAGATGATTAAGCGTTTTGAATTCTAATGAACAGTTTTACTTCAGGAAGAACCGTAGAGGCCTGCACCTAGCACAGCATGATTTGGATGATGCATATGCTGTTCATGTACATCCACAAATACACCTTGTGCCAAGTAATGCTTTCTTGTAGTACAACAAGAATTGCGTGAATTCTGAAAGATTTTAGCAGGTTTTCCCTCCCTATTCATAATTTCTTATCAGTTTTAAAAGACTCCTTACAGCATGTCAGAGATAAAGCAATTAGGACTACAAATTTCCATTTAATTTCCTCTAAACCATTGAGGCTTCATGAAACTCTTTTCACTTATTATACTTTTGTATCTTCTTTGTTTTGACGCATTCCCCTTTGTTTTTATCTCTTCTATCCACCAGAAAGTTCTCAAATCATTTAGTTCAAGTGCTAAAATGCTTAATAAGCAATTGCTTGATTTCGAATGATGACTTTGGAGGAGTGGTCATCGCTAGGTGCTTTGTCCTTTTTTGTATTCTAATTGAATTCATATCTTGGAACCCACATAGAAATGATTTTTGGGTTTTTTTTTTTTTTTGAGCTGTTGAGAGATCTTGAACCAAGTCACTACTCTTGTAAACTAAAAAGAGTTGGTTCTGAATTTAACTTATTGAGATTTACCCTGAACAATACAAAATTCTGATTTGGTTTTATTTTTGCTCTTTAGTTTCACCATGTTAAGGTTGGATAAATGAAGCATGCACAGCTACAGACTTTCTACTTAACTTCTAGGTTTGTTGTTAAAAATGCTGGTTACCCTGTCCTTCCCCTCAGCCATTCATATTTATTTTACTTCTATTTTTCTATACTGCAGATTTTTCTCTCCTATTGTACTAATAAATTGCAAAGTATCTGTTCATGTAATTTGATTTTGGAATCCCCTAATGTAGTGTGTTCTTCCAAAATTTATTTTTTTCCAATAAAAATACTTTAAATAAATGTTTTTTAAAAGTCTCTGTTATTATTGACTTCATCAAGAACTACTTTGTATCTTTTTTCTTATTCCTGAGAAATTTATATTTCATTGGAAATCCTTTCCTGTGTTTGTTCATTGTTGAATATGTATTCTGCAGAGAGATTCAGGTGGATCAGAAGTACAATTGAAGGATCTCTCAACAACAGTGCAGGTAGGTGTTTTGTTTGCCAAGTTAGCCTCACTCTTTTCATTGACGTGAAAGAGAAAGCCCTACTCTCCTTGTCCAGTGAGACAAGAGGGGACTTTTGTAGTGGATGTTCATGCAGGGCTTGGCAGGATCTCCATGTCATTTGGCATTTTTATTTCCAGTTCTCCCCCAATGAACTTTGGAGCTAACAAGTAACTTTTAATTTCAAAAGGCTATCTGATCAAGTAGTGTCTGTTTGGCCAAAGGAGTTTAAAGCTCTCCATCTTTGGGTGAACTTTGATGAGAGAAGGAAGCCCAAGCTGATTACTCCCAGTATCTGTGTGTGTGTGTTTAAACCCTCCCTCAGCATCCATCCATAGAACTGTGGAAGTCAAACATATGATTATTCCATATGACTTCTTCCTTCCTGTTACCCCATTGCCACAATGACTGAGGCTCTCACTCACTGGAGACAGTCTTATGGTCTTGAATTATTGACAAGTGACACTTCAGGGACATTAATGCCTCTTCATTTACTGGAATGCCCACTCCACCAGTTCAGGCTGAAGTATCCATTTGTAAGGAAATAAAGACCTGCACTTGTAGGTATAACAGAAAAGATCTCCTTACAGAGGGGTGTCCAGGTTTTTAGAAGCTCCTGGCCCCAGAAATGAATCTCTCTGCCAAAAAGAATAGGAATCCTATGAGTTGCTCCCTGGTATGCTCTCTGTTCTCACTGAAGGGCTAAAGAAGGCATCCTGAACTGAAGAAGTTTGTTGGACACCAGCTGTGGATCTACTCTCCACCTCTGAATCAATTCTAGAACTTTTTTCTACCTTCCACTTCTGAACCTCTGAGTAGAAATCATGCCATACTATATTTCTGGAACATTAAAACTGCTGGGCCATTTTTCAGGCAGATGTGTTTCCACAGTGAGAAATCTGAGTAAGCTCAGCAGGATCTCAGGGTATTAGAAGGCTATAGCTTGTAGAAATATTGGTGGAAAATGCACAGGCTGTAGAGCCATCACCAAACACTGCCATACATTAGTTACCCAGAGGGTCAAATCTGTGCACAGTGAAACTCCCTGCCAAAATGAGTAAACATCTAAAAAAAGATACCAGAAATGCAAAAAA